CAATTTTAGTTTTTCTCTTTTTTTTTTGTTTATTTCTTTTGTTTGCGTGCGGCTGTGGTCAAGATCCTCAATAATCTGCTCCTTTAATCGTTCAACTGAATCAAGTCAAAAATTTATAAATGAACGTACCCGTTCATAGTTTGTTTTCAAAAGTTGTACACTTTCAGCAACCTCGTACCCACATTCCTCCCGTCAGCGCTCTCGCCCATCTGGCTGTGTCTTGTCAGCATTGCTGCTGCAAACGCATTCGTGTGGTCAATATTGGGCGCTTAGATGGTAAAAATATCATGGAGTGCACGAATAGAGATTGTCTTGCAACTATCAAGCTCACGGATTTGCCAGAGGGAACGATAATAAATCCAAATGGGAAGGTGAGGCGTTTTTTATTCGTTGTGGTGAGATTATTTTCGTGTTTTGCTCTTTGTCTACTTACTACTATCACTTCTTACTTTATTATTTCCACTACTTTTTCTTCTATGTAATAAGAGCTACTTCGCGCGAAATCGCTTGTATACCGATTCAGCGGGATTGGCGAATGGAAGGCGACCGCTCGCGCTTGTGATGTAGTCTGTGTCTCTCTCGCGGGTGTGCTCTCTGATCATTCTCTAGCCTTGATTGGGCCTCAAAGCCTCGCTTTCTAACCGCCATTCTCGTGAATCAAGGGTAGCTTCCGTTCAAGCCTTTCACCAAAGCGAAGCAAACAATAACACTAAAGTTCACGTGATTTTGGAATCGAAGCTGGATCGGTCATATTGTTATCTACATCAGCTTCACAATGATTCTGACCTCCAAAAAACCTAGCTGCGCAAACGGGATCTTTTCATGGTGTCCTGGTTGTTATGACTTCATATTTTTAGCCTGAGGAGTTTTGTTGGTACGATCTGGATCCAGAAGAGATCTTCTACCCATCGGCCTCAACACTAAGGCGACTTACGGAGAGGTAACTTTCGTTGACTGAAAATTTTTTATCCATCTATCTGTTTAAATATACATTCTAGCTTGAAATCAGACGTGAAGAAACCTTTTGTGCCGCCCGTAAGGCATGATGCTCATGGAAATATCATCATGCGTTGTCCTGGGCAGAAACAATGGGTCAAAATGATGTAATCTTCGTACTTTTGTGCGCTCTTTCGTCATGTACAGTTATTAATTTGTTCACTTGAAATATGGATCTATCATTTGGGTCTCTTTACCAAAATAGGGTTTTTCTGTAAATAGGTATCATGGTTGTTTGCTCACTGGTATTTTTTTTCTCGTTGTGTATGTCATGCATGGATTATTGTTTTTGAAATAAATGTATTGGTTTGCGTTGTGTATCAAACGCTTGGTTTCTACCGTACAGTCTCTATGCATTTTAATCTCTATTTCGTTGTATCGTGTATGAGATATCGTGCAGAAAGTATGGAGGTTGATCAACGGGTGCCAGAAGTTGGTGATTGCAAGGAAATGGCGATACCAGATTTACCTCAGAAGAAATTCTACAGGTATCGTTCTGAAATGCTGGGGAGTTGCTCACATCAACTTCGGGATCTATAATGAAATTCATAGTGTAGTTAGTGGATGGGAGTTGAAATGCGGCTCCAAAAGTTTCTGAAAGGCTTTTGTCTGTAGTAGAATGTCAATATCCCACTGGAATCTTACACCCTGAGTCCAAAATCTGTTTATCAGGATTTCACTGCGGCGCTCTCGTAAGAAAAAAGTTTCTGTTTCACCCTACGCTCCAGTGGAGGAGCATCGTCACCAAGTTTTCCGTTAAATAAGTATTGGGCCTAAGGCATACCTCACGCGATTCCAGTCGCGGCG